AAGCTACAACGACGTCAGCGTGGAGGAACTCGAGGCCCGTCTTCTCGGAGCTCCTCGAGATGATCTTCTGTATCCGGTCAGGACCAGACGGGTCCAGACATGGGGCGATTTGGAATCTGTGATGCAGGACCTAGGCATCCAGAGCGGAAAGGGCATGAATGTGATTGAGGTTTTCATGGACGCAGCTGACGCACCTCAGTCCCTGAAGAACATTGCTGATTATGTTCGGAAAGAGAACAAAGCTGATACTGCAGATGGGTGTCAGACGGAGGCCGGGGACTCTCAAGACACGACATTACTTGTTAGTTGAGTGGGTGAAAATGAATGCTCCGAGTGGCTTGTGAGCGAGAGAAAGGAAGTTTGAGGGTAGATCGAACCTACAAAGAGGGTATTCATTAAAAGCTAAATAAATCGCTTCATGCTCGTAGACGGCATCCAGTCGGCGCGAATTTCCACATACGCGTCAGCTGAGATGCTGCAGTATGGGGTAGTTTGAGCGATACAGACATCGCAAGGAGGGCGAGTGAGAAGCGGGGTATCGAGTGTGCTGAAATAGCCCTCTTCACCATCTTACCACCACGACACACCTCACACAAGTAGACGCGACGCCCATTGCTACGACCACCAAAATGTCACCCGTAGAGAGTCGGCTGTGCGCCATCTGCCGGGAAGCGATCCAGTGGAAGAGCGACGGCCTTACAAACAGCCGGGTAACGCCCGCTGACCAGTCCTTGGAACGGTTTCGAAAGGCTGCGGCCGACAACTGCTTTGTCTGTCGCAAGTTGATTGATCTCAGCGAGGAGCATCGAAAGGCGTGGGATCGTCTTGACCCCGAAGCCTGGAGCCCTTTCGAGTATGCCACATTTCAGAGCACCATCAGTGGGGCGGGATCCTGGTTCAGGTTCTCGGTCATCTTCGATGACCCAACCCGGAGGGAGGCGTGCAGCTCATGAGCGTTAGCTTCAGGTTGATCCCCTCACAAGGTATGTTTACGCTTGTAAGAAGAGCCTCGTACAGAAGCTTTCTGAACATTGGGAGGCAGCGAGTTCGAAGAGCTCTTTGTGTTCGCTGAGCTTGAGGGCAATACCGGCTCCCCGACAACTCTCGACACGGCCTATGCCTGGTTCAGTGAATGTTCATCCCACCACCGGGAGCGGTGCAAGGATCCTCCCACATCGACCGATGGATGGCTCCCAACACGTCTCCTCGACGTTGGAGCCGGCAACGCCTCGCATTGGAAGCTTCTGATCAGCGATACCGACCTGAGAGGAGGGCCTGCCCCTGCTTATTTAACCCTCAGCTATCGATGGGGGACGAATCCTCAACATGCGCTCTTGCAGTTGTCTACTCTTGACCAATACCGCAAAGGAAGCAAAATTTCGGACCTGCCACAAACGTTTCAAGACTTGGTTGTGGTTGCCCGGCGTTTTGGCGTCCGATACGTGTGGATCGACTGCTTCTGCATCATTCAGGATTGTCAAGATGACTGGGAGGCCGAAGCCCCCATGATGAGACAGGTTTATGCCAACGCCGCCTGCAACATTGCAGCCTCTGCCTCGGATAGCCCTGAAGGCGGGCTCTTTCGGTCCCGGACTATCCAGGACATTTGGCCTGGTGTCATCGTGAAGAAGTCGACGTCGGGTCATGAAGGGAGATTCTACTGCGTTGACAGCAATTACTGGGACCGCAATCTGCTGACATCCTCACTCCATAGCAGAGGTTGGGTCTTTCAAGAACGCTTTCTGGGACCGCGGCAACTCTACTTCACCCGTGACCAGGTCTTGTGGGAGTGCCTCGAGGGGCACAGATGTGAAGGTTTCCCCAACGGAGTGCCGCTCTATGACTCGCCGAAGAGCATCGATCAGCTGTTGGTGCTTCCTGAAGGTGCAGAACGTCACGGGCAGCTACAAGACCCGGGCGGCAATTGTTGTCGCGAGGATGCCATGGCTCTCGACGCCGTCAACCGGTGGTGCAATCTTGTGACAGCTTACTCGCATTGCCACTTCACCAATCCCGAAGACAAGCTGTACGCTTTTTCGGGGATCGCAAAGTTCTTCCAAGAGATTACGAACGAGACGTACGTCGCCGGCCTGTGGCAGTCGCGCATCCTGGACCTCCTCGGCTGGGTCGTGACCAGGCCACAGGCGAAGCCTTCAGGCGCGTACAGGGCACCCTCATGGTCGTGGGCGTCCGTGGACGGACCAGTTGAGATGGCCAAGCCTGCGCTGGGCGATGTCGAGCCGTTGCTGACCGTTCTAGAGGTGCACGTCTCGACGAAGAGGGAAGAAGACAAGACGGTTGGCGTGACGGGCGGCTTTATCAAGTTGAGAGGAGCATTCATCACGGCTTCCTATACGCGGGATTCGACAAGAGCCCATCGGCTCCTGCATGTTCAGCTTGACGACGGCGATGAGACCACGATTTCTGCGCGGCCGTGGCTGGACACGGCGGAGGTGCAGTTTGGGAAGGAGGCGCCTTCCACTTCTTGGTTCTGCACAGTCTGGCCATTTCCTCCGAAGAAAATGCTGCCGATGCGAAGATGGCGAGTCTTAAGTGTCTCGTGTTAGCGCCGGCGAGCGAGCTGGACGGCACATATAAGAGGATAGGATGGTTTGCATTGCGGGACCAGGAAGCAGTCGATAGAGTCTTGGCATTCTGTAAGGGACATCCGAGAGAGGTGGTGCTTGTCTAGGCCAAGGCCATCCTCTGGAACTTCGGTGAGTTTGCTCACAGGCGGGAACCACTGTGCGATACGGCCGAGTATGCAGGCGCGAACGCGTCGATGGAGACAGAGCAGGAAGGTGCAATGGGATGCAGGGACTTGAGGGATGCTGCAGGTGACGTCGGTCCAAAACGGACGACACTGTGGGGGCAGAGACGTGAGCGCACAATGCCCAACAGGTCGCCGCTTAAGGTGGCTGGTGCGATGATCTGGAAAGGCCGGCGGCCCGTGTGACAGTGACAAGGGTCGCCGTTTCGCGTGTGGCTTGCGCAGACACAGACAGACCCTGCCAGCCCTGCCAGCCACGCCATTTCTGTTCCGTTTCGCTGCCCGCTGCCCGTGGCCCATTTCCTAGTCAGGCACGATCCCCCAGTTTTTCCCTCTTTCGCTCGCACTTGCCGCCCCGGCCAGGTCTCACTCATCCGATCGACGACAAAGGGAAGGCCCAGGCTAGACTGGTTCGCTGTGGAATCTGTGGAATGGGCCAACAATGGCATGGATCTGACCGAACAAGACACCACACACGATGGAAGATTTGGAAGATCAAAGAGCAAAGAGCATAGGCCAAGCGCTTGCAGTTCTCGACACGACAGACGCACGGCATCGTGCGGGATGAACCCTACAGGCGAGACGAGACAGTCTCCAGGCACCTTCGCTGCCGGTTGCCAGGGTTCAGCGAATGACGATGGCCGACGTCATACGCCGCTGGCCCAGCGACCCTTTCTCTCTTCTCATCCTGCATCCTGTCTTCCAGGACCTCCCTTGGTTGCATTCGCGCTCCGCACCACGCAGACACACTCTCATCTCGGGAGTCCTGTTGACGACAGCAATTTGGAGAATCAGAACAAAAACTGGGAATCACCCCTGTTGCAGACCGTGGCTGGCCGCTTCTTGACAAGAAGGTGACCCCCTGCGCCAGAAAAGTAGTTGGGGGTGGGGGTAAAAAAGAATAACGGAGGCCTGAACCCTACCCTCCCCCC